ATCGTGAGATCCGGTCTTTACAAGGCCTGAAGGTGTGATTTCCTTCCAAAGTTTTGCCCCTGTGCGACCTGTAGGTAAATAGGGGGTCTTGGTCTGCAGAACTGAAGCAGCCTGGTAAGTACGAAACAAGATGGCATCCTGAAACTTATTCTTTGTTTCTGTCAGCACTTGCATTGAGTCATGCTAGATCATGAATACCTCATACCTATTTATTTCTCCCCATGAAGAGTACGGGGAATCCCATGAGATATTCCCAGTACGAAAAAACCATTCCTTAAGAGTTTGTCTTTCCTCGTCTATTGCCTCTTTAATCCTTTTTGTTCTCATACAAAAACTCAACATTTATAATTTTCCAGGTTCATAGATTGCTATAAAAACGCCAAAGTTACACTTCTCTCCTTGGCCTGCCCATAAGTCGCATAATGAGAAGAGGAAAGCGGAAAATAAATAGCTGTTATATGAAGAGCGTTGGATCTTACTTGCTCTTAGAGTTTCCGGGGGAACACGGGTTCCATCTAGTGGGAATTTCCAATATTGCATCTGGATCGCTCCATAATGCGTGCAAGGAGATTACTGTGGGCTATGTTATGAGAAAAGGGTGTACGTCAGAATGTCGAAAGCAGAAACGCAGAAAGGTAGTAATGTCGAAGGGCACAAGAATGTAGATGTCATAAAATGTCGCTTATGCTTAATGTCGAATGGAATGAAGCCAAAATTCTAAAACATCGACGAAGAGGAAACGTCGAAACGTGTCGAATGTCAAAAGATGAGATTTTTACCAGAGTGATCATCCTGTGGGAGTGTGCAACATGACTTAGTTGTACGAAGTGCTCCACAAAAGGGGTGATGAAGTGACTGGTGGAGTGCTTCGAACTGTCTGCGGATATAACTGGTAAATCATGAGGTCATTTACACCTTCTGCCTTCTCTGCTTTGTCTCTCTCGCGAAGCCTTATCGAGCAACTTGGTGATGTCCTTGAAGGTAATTTAACTCTTTAAATGCGACTGTGGATCCATCAATGAAGCCATTCCATGGGCTTCTATGTAAGTGCCATGTGTCACGTGCAGGACCGGATTAAGAAGTTGCGGGGCCCGGGACAAGTGGATTCTTGAGGCTACACCTCCTCCCCCGGTACTTACGCAAATATTTAACGCTTTTAATTTCCTTCGGGGGCCCCCCCGGAAGAGTGGGGCCCAGGGCAACAGCCCCCTTTCCCCCCCCCCCCCTTAATCCGGCCCTGGTCTCATGTGCATTCTTTCCATGTACAGTACATCATCTGGCTTCGGCAATCAATTCCCTCCTTCTCCGACCTTAGTTGCAATGAACTCAAGTGTGACATTTGTCGGATCTCAGAAAGGCAAGAAAATATTAGTCCTTCACGGATATCTCTTCTAGAGAGGGAGAAGGCAGCGAGGGAGAAATTTGACTGGAGATGTCAGGACCTCTCTTTCAAAGTTTATGCCATCACATAAGGGGGACAGCTGATAAAGGAACCTTCCAGCCATCATGCTTTTCCCCATGCTCCTATGATCTGATGACTGCAAGTGCTTCACCTAATGTGTATGTTTAATGTCCCTTTCGACATTTACTCGATCGATCTTTTCTCCTAGCGACATTGCTATATTTCTGCATCGTCTCCATCGATATTTTTGCCGTCGACTATTTTCTTGTCGACATTTCTTCTTTCGACATTCAGAAGCGCACCGATGGGAAAGATTTGGTGGTCTACCACTCATACCTGGTGAGCAGCCACATATCTCGTGTCGCACTTGTTGCCACACCCTTCCCACCGTATGGGTCGCATGGGGCCGACATATTAATCTATTAATTGTTAAGTGTTCCATTAACGACATGTAATCAGCGGCGTGGGGAAGGGGGGGGGGGTTTGGGGGTTAAAACTCCCCCCCCCCCCCCCCCCCCGGGGTCATTGTTGGTAAGGCCTTCATATTTTGAGTGGTTCTTGGTTGATCTCTTTTTTCATTCCATCAGTCAGAACAAGTGGCTCAACTGGTGAAACTGCAAGGGATCATTGTGTCTGCCTCTGGAGTGAGGCCGTGTTAGATGAAGAATCGGAGGAGGAGATGAGAATAGCTGGGAACTGGGGAGTCGAACGGACGCAGTGGCACAGAAATGAGAAACGAGATCCGTCTTCTTGTTGGGGACTCCAGCGTGGAGCGTCTCGAGGCGGTCATAGTGAGGAATTTCCAAGGACAGGAGTCCGTTTCATTCCCCGGTATCTCACTTCCTAGCATAGGGCATGTTGAGGATGAGACGGGGGGGGGTGTTGTCCTCGAAAGCGTCCGAGAAAGTATGGGTTGTGTGTGTTGAGATCAATTATGTTCCCAAATTTGAGGTCATCATCGATAGGCTGAGGCCAACGATCTGGACGTGACTCAAAGTCGGGAGTAAGGGCGACTCAGGTCGAGTTCATACTAGTGCTGTACAGCATGCTGGATGCTGCAACTGCATACTGTCCAATGCAACATGGGCATGTTGCATTGGATTTTGCCGCTGCTGTATATGCTGTACAGCACGAGTATGAACTCGGCCTTAGTGCGATTCCAGCAGTCCGATTAGTCTGAGCCGATCGGATGAGAGAAGGAGTTGTGGAGCAGTTAGTGTAGCGAATGGGTGGATTCTTTTCAACACCACAGACCGGAGGGCTAAAACCCACGAGCAAGTAGTGACCGCTGCGGTACTAAGTAGCTTCATTCCTCCACCCGTTTGGGTTACGAAAGGAAAGGGTAACGATTGGCTCGAGCGTTTCTTCACAAATGCGTGCAGATTCTTTCATGAAATAGATCAACTCCGGGAGATGGTAGGAATCGATCTAAATATCATCAGTGTGAGAGGTTTGGGAGAGCTCTCACGTAGATGTAGAGTTTGAAATGTGTGGATTCCATGCTTTGCTCCGTGATAGAATTGAGGCTAAGGACAGAGGAGCGATTTTATCTGCTAGAAATGCACGAGAATCTGCACATCGGTTAGTCACGCCACGGTCCTACATTTATGATGCGAAACCGACCGAGAGGCAGGGAATCTTATCGGGAATCAGCAATAGGCCCTCAAATACTTCTCGAGAGGATCACTTTGCTTTTCGTGCTTTCAATGTAGTCTAAAGGGGTTTTGCCGTATGAGGATCTTAATATGCCAAAAACAAATAGGTGTATGGCGCAGGGGGGCAGGGGGAGAGGAGGACGAGGAGGAAAGGAAATGCAAGTACCAGGGGCAAAGCTAAACCGGAGGCCCCTTGGAGGCCACTGTATGGATGAAGATGGCTGGATGGACCCTTTTGGGACCTTGGCTTTGGGTTTCATTGGAGGCCCCCTTGGAACCCCTCGATACGCGAGACCTGGGCCAGATTGTCCCCGATGTCCCCCCTCTCTGGACGAGCCTCGGCGAGGAGATAGGGGAGTTTCTGAACGCGATGCAGGAGTCCTTCCGAATGCAACACGTCCAGGCACCCACCGCAATCCCGCTATCGAATTTAGTTTTCTCGGCTGGTGACGATCGACGTGCACTGCTTGTGCAATGCTTCCTTCCTACAATCATCCGCCATTTCCCTGGTAATACCATTGCAGTAGGAATATTTTCCTATTATTTCCATTATCGCCCGTGACAACTGAGTATAATCAGCCATTTTCAATGCCAATACGCTCCTACATGAAAAAAGGTGTTCCTGGCTGGGTAGAAAGAATTCTCGTTAGATGGCGCACGTTTGCTCCGAGACCTCCCAAGTCGAATAGACACGCTCTGTTGGAGTAATGAAAGTTTTTTCTTCCTCTCCCTGTCCTCCTTCCAATATCAGATTCCTAGGTAGATATCAAGCACACGTTTAATGACGTTTTTACAGTAATTCAAGTTTATGAAAGAATTGCAAAAAAGAAGCAGATTGGGAAGTCTTCGGTATGATTTGATTCGATCGAATCATGGGTCCGTCCTTATCCGTCTAAAGGTGACCTCCTTTTGGAGTTCCTTTCGAATAAGCAGAAGTCCCCTTTGGTAAAAGGCTGGACGAACGAGTTTCCTTCTCACAAATTTTTTTTGATGAGGGCGCAACCTCGGACGGTTTTTACAGGGCAGTCGATGGTGTATGCTACGGGGTGTATCTACGTCACTGCTTCGAGGAAAAGACCACCAGACCTGCCAGATTGTCTGGGCTTTCATCTCACTCTCCTCGAGGCCAAATACCGTCTGAAACCACTGACCCGAATGACTCGCGCAGTCATTCCACCCGATGCGGAGTACAAGGGGTGATCAATGAGTCGTCACCCCATTAACCATATACAAATATTCATTTTGATCCTGCAGTTACCTCAAATAATCTCTTAAATCGGACACACTTGGTCCAGCGATCCACGATCTCTTTCAGTTCCTCGCTGAGCTTTTTTTTCTCTGGAGAGGCCCACCCACCCTAGGATTGCATGGTCGCTGTTTCATTCGCTACATCTGGACTATTATTTCGAAAACGAATGGAAAGTACTTCAGGATTCGAGTGCAGAAAATACGAGGGTTATTAACATTTTCCCAATTCGTTTCCCAGAGCAGTGAACACGATCCTCTCGGCGTGCATATTTCCCGAAGGCTCTAGATGAGAGCCGCTCAGTGTGCGATGATTGTGTTAGAAATCGGGGGAGGAGGAATTCGGCCTCATCGCCGTATATTCCAGACTCGAGTTCCTGGGACTTCCGTCTGTTTCGAGTCGTGAAGGCGATCTCCGTGGAGAACACTGACAGTCAGTGGACTGCTGCATTTACTGCATTTACCGCATCTGCTGGACTAAATGCAGGGTCACGACCGATTTTGAATCCGACCCCGAGTTTGCCTCAGATTCCGACGGAAGCAGTGGTAGAAAGAACGTTCTGATTCTGTGAGAACTCCAGGAGAACTCATGTCGGTACTTTGAAGTGCCGTGCGAGTGCCGATGGTTCGAGAACACCCAACCATTCTTGTATCCGAAGGACTCGAGAGAATCGTGGCAAAAACTTCATTCTCGACCGTCTTCCCATTCACGATCATGCACACGAACTATAAAAACCCCATCAAATGGATCAAACATAATGGAAAGAAAAATCACTAGAAATTCACGGTCGCCGAGGGGAATTTCTCCTCGGACTTCCAACGGCAGGGGAAGCGACGACGCCGTCGGCCGTAAATTGATCTTCATCGAGGTCAGATGACTGACCCTTTTCTTTCTTTTTATTGTGATCGCAGGGGAGACCTTGGACGTAAGTGAATTCCCGCTTCACGCCGGTCGGGTCCACATAACCGTATTTCCCGCGAACGATGCAATCCTTCCCGCGGGTTTCCTCCTTGTAACTCCCGTCTTCGTTCTCGTAACCGAACGTGAACGTTCCGTCTGGGTTTTTGTCCATGAAGGACTTGAGAATCCGGACGTTGTTCTTACTCTCCGTCTCTTCGTCTTCGAGTCGGTCCCGATTGGGTGGGTTTCGGGGTCGACTCCGGATCGCCTGCTTCAGAGGGTCCGTACGTCGGTCTTGGCCGGATGGAGTCGGCTCCTGGAATTGCGTTTCCGTATCTTCGACTGGTCTCGGTTGGGGACGAGGACGAGGACGAGGTCGACGTCTTCCCGTTTCCTGTGTCGGAATCACGTTCGTGTTCTCAAATACTGCAGGGTTCGCGATCACGGGTCTGACCAGCGGAGCCGATGTTCGCGTGTCTACGATCGTAGGCCGGGGCGCAGGGACAGCGGGTCGGGTGTCGAAGGCCTGGGGTCGAAAGATGGGGGCTGGGGTCCGTGTGTCTATGATCGGGGGTCGAAATGTGGGAGCTCCGTTCCTCGTGTCGGCGACCGGGGGCCGATCGAATCTCTCCGGTGATGGGGGTAGATCCGGTCGAAGCGCAGGTCTCTGACGGAACGAAAGGGCATCGTCCAAGGTGAACCGATCGGGGAGTGCTTTGGACTGCTCCGGAGGTCTGATCCTGATCGGACGGGATTCCGGTCCCGGTCCCAGTCCAAGGCTGCAACACAAACACGATACCATACGTTCTCACTCCTCGCGGTCCGACAGGTCTCGCGATCTTACGAATGCTCATCGACGAAGAGGGAGCCTTACTTGGGCAGGGGCTGGAACGCGAGCGGATCGAAGGACTGCTGTTCGAAGCTGAAGAGAGGTCTGGCATTCTGGTCGGGACGGTTCTGTCTCAGCAGTTGAGGGGTGATGAATTGGTCATTCTCGAAGGATCTCCTGGCTTCCAAGGGACGGGGGAAACTCCTGGGGACATCCAGGAAGTCCCTTTGTTGCGCCTTGCTCCATCCACTCAACAAAGCCAACACCACCTGTCGAGCAGATTCTCGTCGCAATTTATCTACAGCGAGCCGCTCTTGCAGAGTCTAGCACTAGTACTTCAGAGATGGGCATTAATTACAATATAAGAACTTAGAATACTTCATGGGTATTTTTCATTTAAATTCGTCAGTATTTTGTATAGACATTGAGACTCCTCATTTTTTACATTCACATCCTCCTCCGAGGAGCCAAACGTGACCAGAAAAAAAGTTCAGAAAAATTTTAATAATAATCTCATCGAGTCCGGCCAAGGGACCATCCTTCCTCCACCATTATCAGGAGTCTATCTGATCTGTTTAAATTGTTTAAACAAATGCTTTTTGAGGAATTCGAATGTCTTTCCCTGTGTTGTCTGTGGGAAAAGATCAGAAACCGCATGAAAAGTCCTGAGGACTCACAGCGATTCACTCCCCGATACCACATAAATATTGGCGCCATTTAGCTTCTTTTGCGGGAACTTTGTTCGGAAAACATAAATGACGCGCCCGCAGACAGAACAAATAATCGCCGCACGTGTGCCGATGTTGGGCATACATTGGTGGGTACCCCACTGCGATGTGGGCCCACGCTACCCCACTCACAGCCATAATGGGAACGACGAGCTGTGCTCCCTGGGAGGTTCTCTGCCCTATTAATTTCCACCATATCGACCAGTATTTTACCCATATTGTCCAAATGATTTTTTTATTCTGGACACCAACCGCATAGACGCCACTTAGCCATAAGGGCGTCTATACGGTGAGATAAACGAGATCAAACATGCGATATAACGACCTCATGCTGTACTATGCGGTTGGAGTGAAAGTGCCTTGAAAATCTCTTCTCAGGGAGGGCATGGCCCTGTACCTTTTTCAACGCCATATGCTCGCGATGAGATTCATATGCCGAAAAGCCTTCTTCTCTTGCCTTTGGGAACGTGCGATACTCATTATTTCGTACCGGCCTTTTCTTTTTACTATTCAATTTTCACCTCATTTTCATCCGACACTCTCGGCTGAACTTCCATACGCAGCTTTCTCGGTCTTCACAATGCACGTCTTGGAACTGTATTGTGGGAGACAAGGAGAAAAGTGTGAATGGTATCACGTGACAAATAACCGACACGATTCTTCAGCTGTAACGAGATCCGTCAGAGAATAAGAAAGGGAGAGAGCAGAGAGAAATAAAAAATAAATAAGAGGATGATCAAAGAGGAGTATGACAAGTCAATATGGGAATCAAATGACAAAAAGAAAAAAAGGACTTTTGAACGGAGATTAAATTGATGAGGTAAATTGAGATGAGGAGTCAGCGTTGGATTGACGCAGGGACCTCGAACCTCCTTGGTCATTCTCGTAGCCCGTCTCTGAATCGTTTCCATCTCCGTTAGTTCACTTTTACTTGCATGTTTCCAAAATTGAGCCCAATGCTCTAAATGGGGTCTTACTAATGCTGCTTTAAATGGAAGAATGACGCGCAAGTTCTTACTAGCAGTGGATTGTGTCCAAAAATCCTGTTACATTAAGTCACCGTCTCCTACACGTGTGGAGAAAACTTGAGTTTAACCTCGTTTAACGCATTCACGTACTCAGAGACCTATCTTTATTCCGATCAATGTGAAGAATCTTACATCTGCTCTAAACTTCATGAGCCTTCCTTTTTATCCATTTGTCCAAAAGCTCTTGGCTCTCGTCCTATCCTCCTCCCCTCCTTCCCTCTCACCGAATGAGAAATCATTTTTCTCATCGTCGCAAATTGATCGATTTCACCCGAGAGACCCTGATCAAAATCGCTAATGTAAACCACTAATGGAAGCGGTCGTTTGACCCCGCCCTAGGAGACTCCGTTCGCGACTCCTATAAACGCCGACACTTTTCCATTGACTATTATTCTCTCTTTTCTTCCCGACAGCCATTTACGCATCCAGTTACTCGGCCTAACTTGAGTCCTGTGCACCTCCAAGTAAGTCCATAAACTCTTGTTAGGATAGGTATGAAAAGCTTTCGTGGAGACTAAGTAGACGATGTCCAATGGGATTCACTTAATTCCCCCAACCGTCACCAAATCGTAGAATTCGAGCAAGTTGGTGCTGCAATTTCGTCAGCTCCTGAAAACATGCCAAGATCCCCAGATGGAAGAGTTTCCCTTGAGTAATTATAATATTTGGTCCCATAGGATTCTCCCAAGTTTCCAAGTTTCGTGGACTTAGCCTCGATGGAATGAGAACATCTCATCCCGTCATTGGAACCGAATCGGACTGACCACTTGAGCGTGGATGTTGCTGGTCCGAAGCCGCGTTTGTGCCTACCATGACGTAACTCGATGGAACGGCAGAGGAAGAACGGGGTAGTACAACGATGAAGGAGACGGGAGCTGACACGCTGCAGATTGGGCATAGGTAAGAGCTATCTCGCTTGGTTAGAATTAGATACGCCTCGAAGAGGAGAGTGCGGCTCGCTCCGCGATCTAATCTGACGAAACTTCTGAAGCGAGAGGAGAGGCAAGGAAAGCAGAAAATGAAGGAAGGAGGAAACGAAAAAGGGCTCGGCTCATACGTGTAGAAGGTCTTTCTCGCTTTCTCGAACTCTCAACATTTTAATGTAGCTCGCTATGCGCTCCTGACGTAATCCGTTATGTCCTTGTTGCTTTTGCTTTCTTTCAGACTTGGCTTGGGGCTATTGAAGAGTAAATGGAAGCATGACATTGTTGAGTCATTTTAGTTTTTGATTCTGAGAGATATGAGCCGTATATGGAATTAGGAGATCTCAGATAAGAGGCTTCCTGGGTGTGGTCACATACATAAAATCATTTATTATTCCCATAGGTTTTCTCCGCGATATTCGGCAAAACTCGGTTCAAATTCGGTCGTTTCAATTTCGGCAGTGCACATACCACTACTCGCGCTTCCCATTCAATTTCCGCGAGAGTACTTAAGATATCGGCAGCACCATGAAATCTCCTGTTTCTGGTGACCGGTAGGCAGAGAATACATAAAAGAAACTTATGTTCCCATATTAAGAAATCGTTTCTGGGAATTGTGCACGTCATCTATGAATCATGTGATCTGGTTTTCGACATCGCTGAACAGAATTTTCAGCCTTTCGTGAAGAGCTGCAAGGAAAACTGGTTCACCGGGGGGGATCGGTTTTCAATATTCACAAGTGAAAAGTGGTCTAGGTACCTGGGCCTAGTTTCCGTTTTCTTGTCTTTATTGCCGATGAGCCAGTTTTCATTTCAGCTCTTCAATCATTCCTGTATTGTCAAATCGAATGTGAATTTAGAAATCTTTCGAGTCGTCAGTCCGCTTTCTCCTTTGACCTCGAAGAATGGCGAAACCATGATACGACTATGGGGTTCCTTTAAGAACTTCCGGAAGCTCAGAGATGAGATTCATTCCTGTCTGGTAGCTATCACATTTCCAGAGATATGGCAAGGGTGAGGCATGTTTTAGCCTAATGACCTTGCCGTTTTATTGTTGCGTTCTTTGCATGAACAGTGAAAAACGGTCTATTTTATCAACAGGGTGTCGAACGCAGCATGTTTCTTGGAAGAGACACGGACAAATTCGCTTTGCTGTAGAGGAAATTCTTAAGTACTGGCAGCAACAATCTAATGCCACGCCTTCATCGAGTCAGCATGTCGAAATCGAAAGGACCTCTGACGAAAACGAAAGTGCAGTTGTCGAAATTGAAGCGACTGTGGCTGAATTTGATTGGAGAAAAGCTGGGGGAAACCAGATATATGGTAGTTTGGGAACATGCTCCCGTGAGCAAGAAAACGAGACTTCCGGGTATAGGGGTATATGCCATGCTCGCCCAGAGAAGGGAGAGAGGGAGGGGAGAGGGGAAGAGGAAAAACACCCTCATTCCTTTCCTAATTGATCATGACGCTCATGCGCTCGTGATGTACTGCCATAGGAAACCATCACTTTGGGAATCGTGAAGCCTAAGAATGGCCTTTCAGGGAGGGGACGCACTCGATGCTTTTCGACGCCTTAGATCATCGCAGACCCCATTTAACTTCGAAGTCACGTATCTTTCCTTATTGAGGCGTGGTATCCCCAAAGGCTTTTGCTCTGTTTTGAATCTCGAAATACAATGCTCCTTCAATGTCCAGAATGCATAACGAATAAGTTGCTTCAGAGGGACTGCAATGTTCTGCAATATCCTGTTCGACCCTGCATCTGAGTCTTCTGAAACAGGTTCTAGTGGTACGCAGCACACACACACAAACAAAATCCTTATAACTGCATTCAGAGACCAGAATGCGGTTATATGATCTTGCTGTGAGGTTTTTCAGCTGAGCCAAGGAGAGATAGGGTTTCGACTCCTAGATATGTGAATCATGTGGAAGTACCGGATGGTTGAACCATGTGTGAATCAGCAAGACCTCACTTCGAGGTCACGATGATTTACACAATCACATCAATAATTCACATCAATAATCTAACCATGCAGGCAATGATTTCGTACACGGATGCATTGCTCAATGAAATTAGGACTCATGCATCCTTACTCATGCCATCGGGGTTGGCTGTTGGTCTCTGAATGCTGTTATATGGATTTTGTTTGTGTGCTTGCTGCGTACCACTACAACCTGTTACAGAAGACTCAGATACAGAGTCGAACAGTACTAGAACATTGTAGTCCCTATGAATAAACGTATTGTTGTGCATTCTGGACACTGAAGGAGCAGTGCAGTGATTAGTGAGACATTAAGTCACATTGGCACCCCTGATTACATGAGATAACTATGGCATCTTTGAGTGCATGGTCCCCGTAACACCCCGTGCAACTTCAGCTTCCTATGTCATCTCGTTTCTGAGATATCATGGGCTTAAGTGCGGAAGTTCTTTATAATCACCCTGTATTAGGATGTAAGTATACCGTTGTTCTTTGTTTCGTCAATTTCTTCATCGTCTCCATATCGAAAGGATTTCGAAACCGTTGAATATAGATTCCTTCTGCCGCACTGCGTATGCCATTCCACACATTTATTTAATGAGTGACTATTTCTTTTATGTCGACATTGCGGATTCCGACAGCAGATTCCGATCGTAACAAGAAGCCCGGTTTGGAAACCGAGGCGAAGGCCTAGGGGAAATCCAGTTTTTTCGTGAGGTCGCGGGACAAATTTACGGCCCGGCGGTTCCATCAGCCTCTAATGATCTCTGGACCGCGGTTCCCTGCTCTCCGCGGCCTCCTTCGAAATCTATTGCGTTTAGTCCAGGCTGAGGTGCCCCCTTTTTTTTCTCTTATGCAATCGTCATCCCGAGAAAAAGAGAGAGTAGATAAATCCCGAATACAATGCAACACCTGTAGAGACGGGTATGCATAGCTTACTTTGTCTTTTTCCCCACGAAGACAACACTCGGACTTCCTGAATCCATTTCACCAAGGCGCTGTTGAGTGGAACCTTTTTTTGCGGTGGAATCCGACATTCTC